AACACAGAGTCAGTGTTACGCAGCTCCCACTCCATATTATCATCTTCCTCCACCTCCACCGCCTCCTCATCTTTATCCTGGCTCTCTCCCCTCTGCTCCTCTTCTACTTTGCGCTCCCTCTTTTCCTCCTTCTCCATCTCCTCCGCCAAGACGGTCTCCGACTCATCTTTCGGTGGCTTTTTGCTGTTAGGTCTAACTGGGGTGCTGATGATGCAAATGAAAAGAGTAAGAAATGTAAAAAAAGTTTACAAACAAAAAGTGGGTTTATTTCATGATTACTCATACTTTTCACTAGAATTTCCAACTGACAGAAACAAGTTTCAGATTATTACCTTGCATCCACGCAGCCATGAAATTGCCTCAGCTCAGGAGTAGAGCTTATGATGTCATTGATAAACTGATCTGCAGTGGGGTTTACTGCAGTGTCAATTGCCTTTTCTTCCTTGGCTTCTAGAACTTCCAAACGGGGGGGAACAGATTTTGAATGTGGTCTTTGAATCACCTGCAAAACAAAGAGCAGACATCTCTATGCCACAATCTTGTATCAAAAGCATTCAAAATATAGATGTGAAAAGTGAGAATATGTTTACCTTTTCACTAACACCAGATTCTGAAAAGACTTGGTTGGATGGAAATTCAGTGTTCATTGGACGTATGTGATTCCTAAACACAACAAGTAGTGTTACATAAAGAATACTCATGTGAATATACAGTAGCAATTTATACTTTTTTTTTTTTTACATTTTGCACCACTTTTTACACCATTACTGAATTATAACATTTGACATGGGATCAGCATCCAACAACAACTGCTATTTTATTTTGAAAGTTACCACTAAAGTCAATTTTTAGAAAAAAGCTGATTTTCTGATTAAGTGTGTTACCAGGCATGCCTGAAAAGCAAAATTTAAGTTCACATTGGCTGCCAACACAAGTGGCTCTTGTATGGCTGACAATAAGGCTACCGTCATGGAATACCTATAGACAGACATTATCTATTACATTATTGACACATTATCTACAATATAAGAAATTTAAGAGTGCTGAATAAGAACAACCTTAGAGGAGAATTTCTTTCAGAATCCTTTCTCTTTTCCAGAAGTTCCCGATATGTGAGAGCCAACTAAAGAGAGAACATCCGTGACATGTAAGAAGTGACAAATAAATAGCTAAATATTGAATAACATGGTGAACAAGAAGTCACGTGTGGCGATACAATAGCACACACATTTTTAGACTAAACAGCAGTATCTGACCTTGTTGTGAGTATGCCTCAGTGTGGTTAGTTCTCTACCCAGATTCACCTTCTGCTCCTCCAAGGACACCACTGCAAGACAAGATAACATATAGCCTGAGATTTAAAATGTATCATGCAAAAGAAAAATGAATGAAACTGTAAGGAGAATAATCAAAAGTTTAAACTGCACGGCTACTATGCTAAAAATACTCACACTGATCGGCTTGGTTTCTTGCCTTGTTCTCAAGATCTCTCTCTCGCTGTTCTCTCTCTTTCTCCCTCCCCCTCATGGCTCTCCTCTCTTGTTCAATTTGGTCATCAAGCTCCAGATACCTCTAAAGAAAACAATATGCTTTAACAACTCTAAGCGTAGACCAACTACCAATTTTCATCGCTTTTTAAAAACAACTCTTTCAAAACTCCCATTAATCCCCACCTCTTGACTTTCTTTCCTGAGTGCTCTCTCTGCTTGGTATCTCTCCAGCAGCTCTTCTCGCTCAGCTTTCTCCCTCTCTGCCTCCTCCTCCCGGTCTCTCAGCTGGGCTTTGCAGCTGGCCAGCCCCTCCAGGACCCACACAAATATAGGCACCAGTGACTCCACCACACCTTCACCATGGGTCTCAATAATTGTCTGCGATAGGGCAAAGCAGCAGAGTGAGAAACCAGGTACAGTATAGTTGACGACACTGAAATATTTATTCCATTCAGAAAAACATGGCATATTATTTTCCAGAAAACAAGAAATGAAAAACAAAGCGGCTTTACCTGTAATTCTGAATACAGTTTTCCTGCCTCTTCACTCACAATGTTGGGGTCCAGCTCCACCTCCCCTGTCCCACACAGCACTCTCTCACTGCACTCCATTAGCCAATTATTTTTCTCTGCTGTATTAACTTAGAAAAGGATTCAAGGAACTCAACTCCAAAGGCAAATGTTTTTACAACTCTATAAGCCAATTCTGTAGCAAAAAGTTCCTCTTCTGACTACCCTTCCTCACCAACTAGTTTATCGAGCTTTCTAACGTTTCTGTGAACACCAGCACCACCCATCCTCCACAACTTTATGTTCCATTTCTTCCTGAAAAGGGCAGCATCCTCTTAGACTAGCCGTTTCTGTGCTGTGAAATTTATCTGATGTCAGGGGGCATTTTTAGAGTCCATCCTGGGAAAGAAGAAAATATAGTGATATGTAACGAGTTAAGTTTAACTGCAAAAGGACAGTAGGCTGCTTTGTGCAATATTCAAGCTTAGACATGCTTTTCCCCCGCCAACTAACTACCATAATCTTGTAATTGTTGAATATGGTCATGTGATTTTCTGCTATTATAATCTGCCACTAAGAGAAAACAAAAAAAACAAGGATTCTGCTCAGTAAGAATGAAACCTAAATTCCAAAAGGTTGGTTTTAAGTATGTGTATACACTAAAAAGGACATCCATTAAAGATCAGTAACGTGTCAGAGTTCAGGTTTACAGACAAATGTAAACGTACAGTTTAGTCATGCCTGGATGACTTTCTCATTAAGCTTAAACATAGGCCGGCTACATCTTCCACAAGCTCAATGAGAATTATTTCACAAAATAACACTTTTAGAGTTCAAGTTAAAAACAAAACAAGACAATACTATCTGGGGCTAATGTCTCTTTGGGTTTTGAACAGTTGGTCAGACAAAAGGAATAGTTATATTTATTACCAATTAGTTTCTCAAATAATTGTTTGGTCAATAGCATGCACAAAAAAAGTGAAAAGTGCTGATTGCAGAAATTCTGCATACTATCAAATGAGGTAAAGAAAAGCTGAAAATAATCACATTTGAGAAGCTGGAACCAATCACTGTCTGGCATCAAAATGTAAGTTTATTATTTTATGTCAATCGACAAATCCACTAGCTAACCTTTAAAGCTGTAACCAAAACAAGCAACCCTAAGATGTCAACATTGAGCTTCAGGAAATTGTGATGGGAATGTTTCACTACTTCCTGACATCTTGTAGAATGACTAATCGATTAATCATAATTAAAACAACAATTAGTTGCAGCCTCAATCACCAGTACATATTTGGCAAGGTGTCAAATGAAAGGGTGCAGCTAATAAAGTTGCATGTAGATACTCGCTAAAGTGCTCTAAAGGCCTTTTGACATTTAACCTAAGCTACATATGAAAGAGACGGGCGATCTTTCTGTTATAGATGTATGTCTCTCTAATAAGGATTATGTAACGTGCAGCACGGAGACAAACTAAACGAGCGCCTGTATAACGTTATGTGTGTGTCTGTGTGTGAGAGAGAGAAAGATAAACAGCACTACGAAAAGCACAGACATCAAAATGTTAACTTTATATGTAAACACACGAACACGGCGAAAGGATATATGTGTAGATAATTAAGATAATTAGTCTCCTTGGTCAGCTAATAAAATGACAGACTTGAATCGGCATAACGTTACTGTATAAATAAGTAACCTGACTGACAGCGGACACCTTGAGAGAACTTTGGTTGCCACTTTACAAAGTTGTAACTTGACCAAAAAACAAGCCGCGTCTTCGCGCTGTTCGGCTGCCCTTTTACAAACTCACCTTAACGGCGGACTCCTTCGTAACTTTCATTTCACTACCCCAAAAACACTGAAATTCTAGCCGTATTTCTTCGAAGACGATATCAATTACATATAAACGAGTTTAAAGAAGGGGGTGTTGTTTGACGCTGATGTGCGCAGACATGTCTTCAGTGTGGCCAACCAGAGCGCAGCAATAGTCGGCGGTAACCAATAGGCGGGAAGAAGAGGCGGGACGTGGGAGGTTTTGCTTTCGCAAGGAGAAAAAAAAGTTTCCTGAAACTTGAACGATGACACGTGACCAAGGAGTTTGCAGCGAGCTGTCAGGTGACCTGAGTAACACACGTCCAAGTCAGATACCTGTCAAAACAAAATACCTCGCATGCATGAGAACTAGGGGGTCTGTTTTCCCATGTTACTGCAAGCTATCAGAATAGTATCAGATACAGTGTTCGCGTTGTGCTTGTAGATAAAGTTGGTGTCAAGTTAATCAAAAGGCAAACGAGACGGCTGAGACAAATTTCTGCTCATCATTGTTGAACTCTGTCTTTTTATTAGGCTACTTAAAAATATGCTTTCAATAATCAACATCAAAACAGCTTAGACAAAAAGTGGAGTTAGCCGATTATTTCACACATTTGACGAGCGGGAAAAACAACAATTGCTGTAAATTTCGGCGAGGAATGTCGTTGGATGAAGTAGGCCTACATTTCTTCTCAATTCCAGCAGATGGAGGTACTAACACATTTCCCCTCTTTCGGTCCTCTTTTGTCTTCGCCCTTTTGGGCTGATGTTGGCTTCTGTTCTGTTGACCTGCACAGACACCCTCGACATGGTCATCTGGGTCTCTTAAGTGAATGGGGGTTTAATTTATAATTGATTTAATAATTGATTTGAGTGATTAATTAACTTCTTTTAATTTTAGGTCAAAACTTGATCAATCGACTCTTGAAGTGTAACCTTGTTTTCTTTAATTATATTTAGGCTACCCATTTATGTGTAGTTCTTGTTTATATATTTACTTAAACGTGTTTAATTTGTGTTATCTTTCTGGAGGAATGCACTGTACATTAATTGTTCCTACTAGGGTTTTGTGTCATAGGTTAACGTTAAACAAATTTGTATTCATGCATTGTATTCATTACAAAGCATAATAACATAGGTCTACTACATTTTCCACATCCCCCTTGAGAATTATTTCACGAAATAACACTTTTCAACTTCAAAGGGCAACTCCAGCCTTCAAACTTTATTGGAAAGGTGTTTAGCTCACTTGATATATATGCACATGTGCATAGTATGGACAGAAGAGATGTTCTGAGATATTGTTTCCTTAAAAACACTTTGCTGTTGAGTTTTTTTAAAATGTAATTTTTCACTGTAAATACACTTTTGATCCCCTCCACTGTGTAATTGGTTGCAGCTTTCTCAAAACCAAACATGTTAATTTCAACATGGCTTGATAGCAGCAGAAGTAAGTGAGAAAGTATCTTATTTTCTGTATAATTTGACTGAACAAACCTTCTAACATACTTCTGTATTCTGTGATAATGTCTCTCTTTATTACACACTTCTTCCAGGTTTTCATCTTTTTGTCTTTCTCTCTCTCCCTTTCTCCTTCTCTGTCTCTCTCTCTCACACAAAAATACACACATTTTTACTGTCTACATGTAAAATTGCCAGTCGTGAAAATGAAAGAAAATACAGGCATCATGAGTAAAAACTAGTAGGCAGTGGTGGAAGAAGTACTAATAAGTGCTACTTAAATTAGCAATACACCATTATAAAATCACTGAAAGTATGTTGTGTATTCATAATTTTATGTAAGGAGACTTACAGAAATACTATCAGCAGTCTGCCCCTTCAGAGTATTATACTATTGAAGCTGGATTAGGCTAAATGTAAGCTACTCATATGTTTTGTATGTAATCTCTTGATCATCAAAGTAACTACTAACTATAGCTGTTGATAAGATATAGTGCAGTAAAAAGTACTTAAGTTCCTCCTGAAATGTAGTGGGGTCGATGTCGAAAGTAGCATAAAATGGAGGGAAAAGGTTACATTTCCCAAGAAAACAGGAGTTGCATTTCTACATACTTTAGATAGATAAAGGGAAGAGCAGGAGCCAGTGAGACTGCCACAGACTGAACTTGTTTTGTTAAAGCAAAAGGGGAGTGGTTTCTCCTACCCAGTATGACTGTTTTATTTATGGATCAGTCCATTCATGCGTTCTCTGTAGATTTTTCATCAGTTTCTCTTATATTCTGTCATTAATGCTATTGCTTTATACTGTGACTTTTTTAATTACCCTCTCACTCTCTACAAGAACTTCTTTTCCATCCTCTCTCTGCTCTCGGGTCATCTCTCTCTTCTTCTTTGTCAGGAGGTAAAATGCCACCACGCTTCCAACCACCACGAAACTGAGGGTCAGAATCACTAGTCCCAGTCCCAGTAAGTGAGATGTTCCTCCTTTAGACTGGTTCAGCTGGTCCCATAGCCCCACAGCGACACAACTGAGGCCGATGAGAGTTCCCCAAAAACCAAAGGCCAGCATACAGGACCCACAGGACAGCTCAGCGCCCCCGGTCACCACAGTGATGCCCGCCACTGAGACAACCCCTCTTGGTAAGGTCACTGTCTCAGATTTAGGGTCGTAGGTGACAGTAGAAGTGACATCTGATAGAGCTGAAGGATCAAGCGTTTCCATCGTGGTTGTCTTGGTTGGTTTTACTTCCTTTTTCAGATGGCCAACAGTGGTTTAGCATGCAGCTTCTTCTTCTTTCTGACTCCTACAACACGACACACAGTCCTGATTAAAAACCCATTAATATCTACTTTTCCCTTTTCCTAACTTTTTGAACTAATTCATAGAGGCTATGTGGTGTTCTAAGATTCCTTGTTAATAGCTACACTATTTCATCAAAGATGTCTTGTGCATCATTTACACACGTTTCCTGAAAATACAGTCTGGTATATTTGGTATCTTTGGGAAATTATGGATCTGCAGAAATACAATTTAAAATAAAGGTATGAACAACGTTTGGCTGCACATCATGAGTATGTAATGACTGACCCTGGGTTAAGGAATTATAGAATAATAGTAATATTTCAAAGTACTATCTGAATGTAGTTAAGATACGAAGCAATTTAATTTACATTTGATACTAATAGAAGGTGAAATATTTTTTCTTTGGCCTCTCTCATTGGAACCAACAGATACTGGAGATTGCATGATAAATATAATGCCTTTAATTCAGCAAACTGCAACAAGCCTTAGCATAAACCTTATTCTCTTCAACCCGATGGATCCTTAACAGCATTGTATATTTCTGAATTCGAAACACAAATCAACAAGTATCCCATAGATGCATACATATCTAGTTTATCAGTTTAAATGCGTTGGATAGAGTCGAATAAAAAAGAATACTTTCAATTGGTAAGTAATTGAAAAATCAATACACTGTGTCAATATTGATGTCTTTAGCTTTAACTAAAATGTTGTATTTTTATATACAAAGTATTGCATTGCTTACCTCAGTGTTAAATCAGGAGCTTAGATGTCAGTAGAAATTGTGTTCAGTGAAGATCCTTTAGTGAAAGCCTCAAGTTGCGGCCGACTTTCTGTCTGGACAGTGGGTGTAGAAATGGGAGCAGTGCTGTTACCTTTATCTTTTACGTCACAACCTGAGGCCCTTACAAGATGGTGGACACAATTGACACAAGATTGTTGTCATCGTTTGTTTGTTTCTCTCTTTCCTTGTGTTCAGTAGGAAGCTCTTGTCCGTCATTAAGCATCATTATAACCCATTACCAGATATTTATCTAGGAACAACTCCCTTCCTCTTTTCCCCTCTCTTTCAATCTTACGATTTGAGTTGTGTCACACCAAGGCATTGTTTGGGCTGAGAGTGGATTTTTCTGTTTCAAAGTATTTTCCTGTTTGGCGTTCCCATTCTGCCTGTCACTGGTAGTGAAGTGTATACACAATGAACATACTTTAATTGCAAACAAATTCCTTGTGCCAGAAGTGCCAGAAATGCACAAATAAATAGACCTGACCTGCCATGTTGACACTGAGTGTAGCAGATTTGCAGTATATATGTCAGTGCTGACGTTGATCTGGTTTTCAGGTCGATGCTTTAACACAGGTGAAGCTTGATACTGCCAGTTAATTGGCTATAACACTAATCAGCCAGCTGGGATGATGCCAGTTTTGAGACTAGCCTAATTGCAGATATTTGTAGATGTGTTGACTTATACTATTGACAGACTTTCACCTGTTACTGCTCTAGTATTTTTTATGTGTATTATATGTTACTGCCTGCAATAGAAATATCATATCCTAATCCTGTTTCGAAGCAATGTTATAGCTGCTATAAAGAAATCAACTTTTAATCATTGTGTAGTTTTTTATGTGACGATGAAAACCAAATTATTATCTTGTTGCATGTGTTTACATTCACCACCGACAAATTCAAAAAAATGCACTGTGGAATGTCCTGGGTGTATAATGTATGTATATCCAACGAAGGTTAAAACTGAAGAAGTCCTTTGGATAAGGGACGAAACGTCTTCCAGTAGCTTCAACCAAGTCCAGTTGCCCTTCATTTTAACCTTCGTTGGATAACTATGACCTGGATGACTGAGAATCTTCATAGACAATGTATGTATATATGTTTATAAATAACTTTAGTATATATTGTTTCATTTCATTTAATTTATTTTATATGTTACCATAATTTAATTAATTATCTGTTAAAATGTGTATGTGCAGAATGATGGGACTACAAACTTTCTTTTTGTTATACAACCTTGTGTTGTAAAATGATAGATAAACTACCTTGTACCTTGTTATTGTGCTTAGATGCTATAGATTGTTCTTAGACATCCACATTACATGAATCCTCACCTTCTGCACAAGTAGAAAAACATTTCAGAAGTGACCACAAATCCTCACTTGCTCTAGCTCCAGAAATTACGCGACCCCAGGTTATAGTTCAGATGCGAGAGGAGGGGGTAATTCTATTGGGCACAGCACTCACAGGATGATGATGATGGTAATTGGCTAAGTATTGGATTGGATGGGCCAGGGGCGGGGCATTAGTAATCCAATAGATGGACTCACTGAAAGCAAAGAAATCCTACTGCAAAAATAAGACATGATTGATAATCATACATTGAAATAAACAGAGTATATGAAAGAAGTGCATCTAATGCTGTCAGCTTATGCCTTCATCCATCCTGTTTAAATGTACACACAAATCTGTAACACATAACTCTATATGCCCCCACCTCCATGCAAAGTTAGTCTAAAACAACATTTAAGATAATAAAGATCATACTTTCAGTATAATCAAATTAAACAAACTGATGACATACATTCATGTGCCAGCAAAAGAGTCATGAAGCCATTTGATGTACTGATTACTGTGGCCCCTCATGTTGGGTGCTGTTGGCAATATATAGAGATCATATATAGGAAAAGGCCCAAAGGACTGGAACTGAGTTACAAGCGACTGGGTAGTAAAGTAGGCAAAATCAGGAGCTTGCATGTTGGACGCCTTTGGTGCATGAGACAATAGTTTGTGGAGGGAAAAGTCAAGACAAAAAAAGGCTAAAAAGAAGGATAATTTGGCAGCCCAACAACAAAAACATAATTTTGCAGAATAAGGGAAGAGGGGCAACAATTTCAAACATTTAGCCCAGTAAAACAAACCAAGGCTCGTGACAAAAAGGTCAGTGAAAGGAGGACATGATACCTCACATAGGACAGGAAGTAAGTCATGTGCAGAGGGTTGCAGTGAAGATGATGTCAGGGGCGTAGGTGGGATTGGAGGTAGAGTTGAGAGGTGGGGTTAAACTGCCTGGACAGATGGTAGTCTGGAATTAGAGGTCTGTGGTGAACTAAACCCATTGAAAGGCCACTACTGAAATAGCAGACATACTGCTAGAGAACCTAAAGCTTGCTTTGGAAACCCACCTGGGGCCATGTTAACAGAGTTTCCCAGAGCATGTCTGCTAATGTGCTGAACAGTGTTTAAAAGTAATGTTCAAGTTTTATAATCCTGTAGCACTCAAATATTTCTCAATTTCTCAAAAAGGGGTTGTAACTGCAAGGATACAGTGAAAAGCATTGAACACTTGCTGACTGTTTGATGTTGAGTTATTAAGTAAGATTCTTAACTTCTTGGAGACCCATCAATAATGTAACAGACACATGAGCTCAACACTCTTTCTAGACTTCCAAACCCAATAGAGAAAATTAGGATCCAGGGGTTCATTTCAGTCAAGCTCAGCCACCTTAAATCCCGCATTAACAGAATTAACCTAGTCATCCACGGTAAGAATGTGTTTACCCCTGCTCTCCTTATCTCTCACTGTCTTATCGTCAAGACAGACACTCCAGCCATCGTCTCACCACACAGCATAGGCCTACAGGTAAGTTTTCCTTACATTTTTGATCATTTAACTTAATGACTGAGGATTTCAGAAGTGGACTGTACCATACGTGGAACCTAACCTTTTTTTTTGCAATCACTTGCAGGCTTCTAACATCAACAGAAGAGATCAAGCAAGTGAACGAAAATATATTTTGATCAAAGGAGTGCAGGTGCCTCAGAAAACTCAGGTGGCAAATATTTAGTTGGTCAGAACTGACGCACTAGTAAGACCTTAAAAAGCAACCACTATGGGAAACTCCACCAGTAGCGCGTTATCAAAGGAGATCCTGCAGGACCTAAAGCTCAGCACCAAATTCACTGAAAATGAGATCAGCCAGTGGTACGAGAACTTTCAGAAGCAGTGCCCGACGGGACGCATAACACCAGAGGAGTTTGAGCAGATTTACGCCCGCTTCTTTCCCGAGAGCGATGCCAAGAGCTACGCTCGACATGTGTTTCGCTCCTTTGACACCAACGACGATGGCACTTTGGATTTCAAGGAGTACATCATTGCACTGCACCTGACCTCCACTGGGAAGACCACCCGGAAACTGGAGTGGGCCTTCTCGCTGTTTGATGTAGACAAGAACGGATACATCAACAAGACAGAAGTGACGGAGATCTGCCAGGTTAGGGGGGGTGCGTGCAGTGATGTGTAAGATGCTAGAGATAATGACGAAAGGATGAGGCACTTTAATTATTGTTCTAGTGTGACAAAAAGTAGTTAAGGGTGTCCACTTACCTTATGGAGAGTAGTATCAAACTAGCCTATGTTGACTTTACAGAAATTCTATTTTATTTTACCAAAATGTTCATCTTCATCTCCTATAAACATATAGGCTAATATCAAAAATTCAAGCTGCTCTGTGGTTCATAGTCTGCATGGAAAGGTTTTAAGTTGATAAGAGGATTACTTGCCATCATGAAATCCAATATAATACCCCTGTAGTAAATACTAATTTTTAAATTTAAACTCACATACATTTTTTATTTGAATTGTCTATGCTGGTGAGGTGTTCATTTAACTCTATGATTGTTTTTGAGGCAATCGTTTTAGAGAATTACTGTTAGACTGCATCGTTTTCTTGGTGTGTTGCCCACTCATTTTAAAGTCCATGTAAAATGAGTCGCTATTTATTGAAAGTGATCATTTGTCTCATGGTATGTAGGCGTCAGTACTAATTAGCCAGCCTTTTTGAGACTCCTTATAATCTCTTAGATTACAGGTTTAGCTCTCAGGCAACTCTTAAGCAAGGCTTGTATTGCCCTGTCAGTTGCAGGAATGCTCATCATCCCCGAGTCTAATCCATGTTTATTTTATTCAGGAGGCTGCCACTTTGGCCTGTCAGATTATTTTGTGCTAATTACTCTATAATAGCTGTTAGCTAGTGTTTTTATCTAATCAAAAATCGGTCTGACGGAGGTCGTAGAAGTTTCTTATCTTCTGGTTTCTGACAAATTATATGGTATTGTAAGAGGTTTAGACAGATCAGCCGAGGATCCAGCTGGCATTGTAATGGGATTGAATTCCTTGCCAACTGGCCTGAATACATATGCATCATGTGTACAACCACTGCACAAAATAGCTAACTTTTAAAGCTATTGTGCCAAAAGTTAATTAACCTAAAAGAAAATTTGACTCTGTGGAGAGGTAGGCAAAAACAGATCTGCTATTTGACCAGAAACTAACATCATTATAATGGAAAGATAATTCAGAAATATATATATATAATATATGTTTTCATATGTGGGTTTGAAGTAGGTAACAAGGGGGTGAGGAATGAAGGACTAATGAATATTAGTGTAGTCTACTACCATATGAGCTGTTTAGTTTAATATTATATACTACACTAATATGCTATACTAGATAAGAGAGGCTGTAAATACAGTGCGTCTTTGAGGGTATCCATATTTGTATGAGACTGCCTGATACAGATCTGGTTTTATCTGTATTTGTTTTTTTTTATAACTGACGAGTAACGTTTGTCATCTACTAGCCCACAGTGTGACCTTTACAGACCACAAAATGCTAGGGGCAGGATGAAGGGGACAGTCCAAGGAGAGAGACTGACATCTTGGTGTTTGGCCTGTGGTCTGAATCTTGGCACTAATCCATGTTAATCTAGGTGTCTTAAATGTGGGAGATGAGTGCTTCCTCTCTAAGTGGGACACACATTTAAAGGCCTGAACCAAAAGTGCACAGTCATTTAGTAATTTACAAGCTGCTGGATTCCAAGTGGCCCATTGCAGAAGAACTATCTCTGAAAAATGACACACAGGCACTGAATGTGCTGCGGTGGGCTGATTGATTATTAATTTTTCATTTTTAACTTGTATACAAAGCGTACATGTGAAATGTAATGACCAAGCCATTCAGGATTGCTCTTGTAGCTGCATTTGGTAATCAGATCAGTTGTCATGTGGGGATTGCAGGCTGCAGTGTATTAAAGTAAGATTTAATTGTAGTCTACTTGATTTGGTTGTATTCAGCCAAAGTGCAGTGTATACCATGGTTAATGACAGTAATCAGGGACTAGACACAAGACAGTCATGAGGAGAAATTATTGGATTGTTGCTTTTCTCTTAATGTCAAGTTGTTCTGCATCAGAAGCTCAATAAATCACACCTACATACAAGGCACTAATTAACTGAAGAGGGCTGTGAGCTTACTCACTTGTCCTGCAAACTACACACTTCTTGGCTTGTACACATTCGTTTTATGTCTTGATGTTCTTCCCTAATTTGTGTGAGAGAAATGATGCAGTATTATCACCAATCTTATCCCTAACCCCTTTCAGGCCATATTTAAGCTGATCCCCAAGGAGGAGCAGGCCAAGCTACCAGCGGATGAGAACACACCCGAGAAGAGAGCCGAAAAGCTGTGGTCTTACTTTGAAAAGAAAGACAATGGTGAGGGAAATAACACACATACCACACACACACACACACACACACATATATATATATATATATATATATATATATATATATATATATATATATATATATATATATATATATATACAGGGCATTGTGTTATTTGTCACTATGTATTTATGTTAGAGAGAGATAAAGTCAGCGTAAGCTCTTACTACCTTTCCTCAGCAGCTGTTCTTGTATTCTGTAGCGAAGATTACATTTTACAATCATCTATTTGGCTTAATAGTAATACAAGCAATAAATCCACCTGGGGGCACATCCCCAGTTTTAATTGTGTCATGCAAGCTTCATTATGTATGTACCAGACATTGATCTTAAGACCTAAAGTGACTCCACTATGTTGCATGCCCCTGTCACAAACCAGCACACCCACACAGGAGATAAGACTTCATTATAATCCTTTATATAAGGATTTCTTAGATAATTCAGCCTCACGTTGACCCCATGCTGTATATGTTGTTTACCATTTTCTTCCCACTGTAACATCTCTTGCTCTTTCTTCTTTCCCCTCTCATAGAGCGATTGGCTGAAGGAGAGTTCATCCAAGGAGTGACTGAAAATGAGAATGCAATGCGTCTCATCCACTACGAACCAATGAAAGATTGAAGGCATTCCTGTTTTATCCCCTCTCCTTCTTTTCTCACATTAGACTCTTTCCTTTCTCTTAAAGTTTTAGTTTGTCCTCTTCCCCTCCCAGCCTCAGATGCTTTCTCCTCCCTCCTCTTTACTCCACTCGACCCCTCTGTGTAAATACTCTTTACTGCAGATGTTAGTTTCAATTATCATTTTCTTTGTTATACTAATGTTTGTCAGTGCATTCTTATAAAATAGAGATAAAAAGAGTCAAATTCTGGCATAGTGTTTCAAAACATGTGCACAGCTAAAAAGAATATTTATGGTGACTATGGTGATACATAACATATATTTGCATAAATAGAATGTGTATGATAAACATCATTAACTGTTTTAATGGTTCAAATAAAATTTGGGCTCTGGAGAAATTAATGGTAAAGGCAGTTCTATCACCCCCAACTGTTAGCTCATTAAAGCTTTTTTACAGAACTGGAAATGTCTTAGTAGAGGTCATAGAAATGTTGTACTTTATTCACTGTACAATAAATAAAAGGTTTTCTCATAGATCTTTGCATTGAAAATTGCTTTATTTATCTTTCCCAAAAAACAACAAATTCTTCTATGACCTAGAAACATACTGTATAATATAATGCTGGTGAATGACAAAAATGGTGCTTTATGTCGTAGGTTTTCAATTGTATTTATCCCAAACAGAAAATCCAGGATTATCCCACATGTATAACCTACAGACATTTAAGGTAAACGTAGGTACATTTATTTAGCTTTAGAAATTGTTGCGCTTATAATTTTACGTTAAACCCAGTAAATAGCAGAATGTAATATCCACTCATAAACAGTTATTTCCCTGAAAGTGTGATTTTTTTCATGGTGCATGGTACAAATTGTCTAGTGGGTGTGCATTCCTGCATTTCTTTCTAACTTTCATTCTGACCCCCCCACGCAGCCCTCTCCCTCTCCATCCCTTCCATCTCTCCTCACTCTTTTCCTCCTTCTTTCCATCCAACTCGGGATTACTGGTTTACACATAATCTTCTGTTCAACATCAGAGAGCAGACTTTTCAAAATCTCTGTAATCTTTCTATCTCTATGTGTCTATCGTAGGGGTTTGTCTGTGCATCTGCAGAGAGGCTGTGTTTGTTTGTAGCTTCTGGTACACAGACATTGCATAAAAAGATAGTCACAAGAGAAAGAAGACGAGCTTGAAAAGACATAAAACATGTTGAATGTCCCACCGATAAATGAGAAGCTTTTGCATATTTACTCTAAATAACAGGGAGTTCTGATTAGGTTTCAACAGGAGAAGAAGCATCCATCCCGTCTGTGCAGTATAATGATCACATTGTCTTGATGCAATGCATGTTAATATATAAACAATAAAATAATTAATAAAAAACATAGATATGCATTTACATGTAGAGACTTTCCTGCCACGAGGCACTGAGAAATACCCAGAAAATATGTAGTCTTGCATGTCACTGTGACCTATGCATGCACTGTAGTCTTTACATGTTGATTCCACTGGCTTTGAAGTGCAATGAGTATGTCCCAACTTCATTTTATAGTCAAAGTATGCTCACATTGATCCTTCTCCCGCACGTTGACAGTATCCTTCCTCTGTCAGTTTTTGGATATAAATGATCCCCTAACAAGGTGAATATACACGGTCCATGACATCCTCCATCTCATCCATCTCTCTCTCACAGTCTTCACATCCCTCTGGCCCGCAGCCTCCTACTAAAACCAGAGTCGGTATATCCCCATTTCCCACTCCAACCACACTGCCGTTTGGAGCCCACGCCACATCAATCATGCCGTCTGGACACTGCAATAGGCCACTGACAGAGTAGAGCCCGCCACCAGGAACGACCTCGTCATAGGATGGAGCATGAGTGGCGGCTCTCGCTTCCTCCAGGCGGAGCCTCTGCTTGCGACGGAGCTCGATGATGGTCTTTGTGTAGGAGTTGAGTGTGACCACGGCGGCGCCCATACAGCAACTAAAGGATACCCAGGCAAGACTGGGAGCAGAGGAGATTCAGAGGAGTTGAAAAGAGAAGAGAAACAACATAAATCACAAGTACTTTATGTACATACTTAAATAACACAGGTTTGTATGCTGTCTCTAAAATGCTGCCACCTACGCAAATGACCAGCCGTAGTCCCAGGTCTGAGGCCTCCAGTCTTTGGGGCCCACAATGACTGTCATCTGAAAGACTGTGGTGTACATCATATGGGCCACCATCCCAAGAAGACCTGCGTGTGGGATGAAACAAACAAAAACCACAGACAGAACAAATCAGACAATTAAGTCTAGAAAACAAAGATGACCATGCAAGTAGAGAATGACATATGGAGAAGGAGGTGGTTATAAAATAACGTAAACTTGAAGGATAGTCTCACCTGATAGCACAGTACAGATAGCTGCATAGGCATTGATCTTCAGCGAGTGCATCTCCTTATGGGAACACAAGACTTCCAGCCACATCAGTAAGAAGCCCATCCCCAGCAGGCCGATGTATGTAAACTCTGAAATAACTGACAGCCAGAGCACACCTGCAACATTTGAAAATACATACACAATTGACACACAGACATACATATAGATAAAAATACTTAACAGAGACTAAAATAATAATTTCATGGTTTTAATATTTCGACACAGAGCTGATGCACAACTCACCTTGTGTTTCTCCTGGGGTTAACTCAATAAAGCTTCGACACTTCTCCCCTGCCCACAAAATGTACAGATATGAACTCAAAAAGAAAACATTGTTCCTTGAGCTCAAATGAAAGGATTTCGTGGTGGAGCTGAAACTGAAAAGAACCCTAATATGCATGAAAGTGGTTCTATGGTGTGAAGCACTTTGTGTTACATGTATTTGTATGAAAAGTGCTATATAAATAAAGATTGATTGATTGATTGATTGAAAGTCCAACAATCTAACTAATATTGTGACCGGCTGAAAGTGTGATTGGACGTGTGCTTTGTGGTCTCACCATCGCTGTGCTTCTCACAGCTTTCCCAGAAACCAGTGTGGAAGTATCTAAAAGCAAACTTGTCTTCGCCTGTCTCCCAGATATAGTGGACCGCGTTGGCCAGCTGCCTCTGTCTGATCTTGGCCAGCTCGTCCCTCCTGGCTGGGGACAGTGTGCGGTTGAAAGGGTTCTGAGTGGGACTCTCTGTGTGAGAGCACAAGAGGAAGACAACAAGAATAGTATTATTTTAGGTTGATTTTTTGTACCTGCTTATTCCTGTTGTGGATATTAGAGTTGGTGGCAGAACCAAAATTGCACTGGGTGGACCATCTCTTCACTGCTCTTTAGACATAGAGACACCAACACATTCAAACTCATACACATCTGTGGGTAATCTCTATTCTCCAAACCAGTCCAGACTTGCATTTCTTTAGAATGTGGAAGGAAACGCACATACACAGAAGCGACAACAAAGTTCTTCCTGTGACGTACCAGCATTAATGACTGCATGAGCAGGCAAGCAGATGCACAAACACACAGATGTTAATACTGCAAATGCACTCATTCCTAAATATCTGACAGATTATTTGACTGAATTGTTTTCATTGTCAAACAATGAATGCACCAGAAACACACTTTTTGCATCCAGGTGTGTGTTGATGGAGAATTACAGAAGGTCCAATTGGTAATTTAAAGAAGTATTTAGAATGGGAGACGTCAAGTCACCAGCAAGACTGTTAATCACACCACTGCCTCAAAAGTAACACGCCTCTGTGTTTTGCAGTCACATGTAGGCTCGTCAGCTATCACCTTGTCATCCCACGTGTGTTTAAAAATCAGGTCTAGAAGCATAAGGGAGAGTCAAATCCACCACTGTAAAGGTAGATCTTTCTGTACAAGTACACTAAGTACATGTAGTGATCCAAGTTGAATCCTTTATGCAGTGAGAGCCGTTAATCTCAGTGTGGATTAAGCATATCTGCTGAGAAAGTACAAACCAGGCAGCAGGCAGTGCAAACCTCTCCTCCACAGATGACTAAACCTTTGGGAGCGACCCTCACACCCCACAGATTAATACTGAGCCATAATTAAGTTCACTGTGGGACTAAGGTATGGGCAAAAAGGGATTAAATACATCCAAACCAAGGACAATCAGTTTCATCACGGGGAGAAGCCTGTCAGTTTATCCCATCAGATTAGTTCGAGGTATTGGTTGTTATGCAGTGACACAGTGCAAAAATCAAGAAATACTTGACTCAACAGTCAAGGTCGACATTTTGATAAAGTCAACATCAGAGAGCTGCATTTTCTATCTTTTTTGGAAGACTTGTGAGACGATACACAATGACAAATTGACCATCTGCACAGATGCTCAAACAAAGGTGTGACATATACACACTTTGTATCCACTTTATTTACACCTAGTGAGCAAACTCTGCACTTGATCTGCTGCACTTGACTGAGTCTGCTGGTAAAGGCCATGAGATGCAGTTGAAAGCTTGTTTGTGGACCTTTTGTAAGAATTGTTTTGTCAAAATATGTTGATTGTGCAGATGTTTTAGATCTACGTATATGATACAAACATCTGATTGTCAATCTGTCCCGTGACCTGTGTGATGAACTTAAGTCGTGTTTCTTAAAGCATCTTAAAGCAATGATGCATTATCCTGCTGAGAGCATCAGTCTGTAATAGCCTGTGGCTGTGATGGTAGACACCTGGCCAGTAACAATGTTTCAACATCCAAATTATGTCTGTCTATTGCAAAAGACTAATGCCAAGGAAACATGGTGAGATCATTTCCATGAACTCATGCTGTTTACAACAAACTGTGACATGTTTGAAGAAAAATAAGTGACTTGAGTATCATTTTATACAACTTTATCCTTCTACTTGACCACATTTCATAGAAATATTATACTATACTTACTGTTTACTTTGCAGATTCATACTTTACATGAAAACATAAACACTCAGTTTAAAAATATGATGCCTAAGATTAAGTTCAATAGTTAAAATTAGTTCCATCTCAACCAGCTGCAACATTAAAATGCTGCGTACATTTTAATGCAACAACTAGAACTTGAAATGGAGTATTTTTGCAATGAAGCCTTGCTACGTTTACTTAAATAAAGGATCTGAATACTTCTTGCATCACTTCCATTAACATATCTGTTGCATACCTGATGCTTCCTTGTTGGCCAGAAGTAGAGAAATAAATACATTTTGTTAACTTATGTTAGTTGAGTTCCTCCTCAGAAATCCATGCACCATGGCTGTTTATGAGATGCTAAACTTTGTGTATCTCACATCAATAATCTTAAAAGTGTTTTTGTCTAGGTATCGTCTAGGTATTGCTCATTCTAAGGTTTTGCTGAACATTAATTGAACTTTCCACTCTGGCTGCATACTTCATTATAAATCATTGTAAAATCAGGAGAGAGCTGTTTGTGTAAATGGGGAGGTGCACCTCACAAAGTGCATATTAAATAGGCAGTAAAAGTAAAAGAGAAATCTATGTATCAGTATACTTAACAACAATAAATAGTAACAATAAAGAGAAACAATACAGCTGCACAAAAGAAAGAAAATGTAATATCTGTACCTGTGGTGTAAGGCTCGCTGTTGTTTTGACCACAGTTCTTCATTTTGACGGGTGACAGGCAGAGGGGCTTGACCACCTTGTGAGTGCCCTCACACCAGTAAGAGGTGCATAGAGCCAGGATGGACAGGGCCAGAGCCAGAGAGGTCAAGGTCAGGGAGAGCAGAGAGCGAGAGCGACGGGACATACGCTCCAGCATGGCCACACAGGAGAGGTGGGAGGCAGGGGGAGGCCAGAGAGAGACAGAGGGCGAAAGTATGGCAAAAAGGGGGCAGAAGGGGCACGCGGCACTTGGGAAGAGGACAAACAGCACACAGGGTATGACCGCAGTCACAGATGGACAGATGCTTTGGGGTGGTTTTAAGAGGGGATGAGCTGCCAGGTTGAAACAGAAAGCAAAGATAAACGTGATGTAACACTACCGGTAGAAGAGGACAAACACAGCTGACAAAGTGATACTGTAAAGTTGCGTGATTAAAAGAGAAGAAGATGAAGAGAGCAGAGGGGAGGGAGCGGGCTAAGATGCTCTGAAGTTGATACACGTGGGAAAGGAGAGACAGACTGCAAAAATTAACAAGATGGGATTCAGGTGGACGATGGTTCACACTGGGAGGGTAAGGTAGGATGCAGGGACATAATCGTATGCTGGCCAGACAGCTTTAATGTGATATGTCACCCCCTGACCTCAGCATGTGTACACTCAGCACTTGTGTGCACTTATTAGATCAGTGTGACTGAACCGAAAAAAGCACAAGGTTATTTAAAAATACTAGAATTAATCATTAAGAGTTGTAGAGATAGAGGATATACTTAAAGGCAATTCATCACCTGGCAAGAATGTGGTATTAAATGGCTGAATGGGACACACAAAGGCTATTTCCAGGGTGTCCATATGGTGACATCTAACTTTCTTGAATGCCCCTTGAGTCATTAAACTACCTGAAGTCTCATAGCTCCTCTCTCTGTGTTTATAAGGAGGGGTTATGTAGGAATAAGAAATGTGTGATCCCCTGTGGCTCAGGCTAATATCTTCCTGCTTCCTGATTAACACACTCAGGAAGGAACCTGCCGCTCATTATGAACTCCACTGCTGGACTCTACGCAGAAGACAAAACGGAAGGGAGAAAAAACAAGAGATGACTTTTTTGATGAAATTATGGATAAGCCACAGATCTGAATGAAATTTTTGCTAGTAATCCCTCATAATCTGCTTGAAGGTTTTTGTTTTAGGTGAGTTTTTGTGCATTCTGACCATGTTGGCTGACTCTCTCGTGCAATGTCTCCCACAGTGTCAGCCCACAGCCCCTGCAATACAACAGGACATTAGTTTAACCAAGTGAATTAAACACAATCCCTAATCTACATGGGAACTGACCCATGCTGATTTCTGGTATGTGAATAATGCTGATTAAAATATGTAAAAGAACAACATAAAACATGGTAAAAAAAAAATTAATTAATGGACGAGATGATGGCTGCTACTAAAGGCAAAAATCTACGGTCTGTATACATCTGTACATTTCTGCACTTGTCTAGATTGTCTTTATTGTATCTGTAAAAAGATTTGTACAATCTTATATATTAAAAATAAACTTATAAACACTACAGCCTAAATGTGTTTTATGTTATTTCTGAAATATTAAAAGACAAATATATACAGTATGTGTCCTTGGTTGTAAGAAGACCTGAACTCTATATATCTCGTGAATTTATCACTATTATTTGCAAAAGTTTACAGCATAAACAAGTTGGATGCAGGCTAATCATTCAATTTTGGAAGAATTACCGACATCGAGCATGAAGAACAATATAAACTTTCATTAATCTTACAGGAAAACTCAAAATTCTATGACACTGACTGATTATTGATTTCCAAATGTACTGACAGGTTTATCAATCTTGGCAAATATTAAAAAATAGATTGGAAACTGCCTCACACAGAATTTGTCTCATTTAACAATCCTATGATAGCAAACTACCTGAAAACTGTATTATCAATTTATCAGAAAGCTCAATTTAGGCTTAAATAGGAAAAGCAATATATATCAGTTAGTTTTAAGGCTGCAACAATTATTTTCTTGATTACATTTAGTCCATGTCATAAAATACTGATAAATGGGAATTATAATTTTCCAAAGCCTTAAGCAAAATCTTTATGTCACTTTATTTGATTATCAGTCCAAAACCCGAATCTATTCATCTTATGATCATAAATGACAAAGAAAATAAGACTCATTATTTTTCTACTAATCTATTAATCAAAATAGGTGCTGATTATTTTCCTGTCGAGTGACTAATCGTGCTAAAATAATCAGTGACAAGCACCTACCAAAGACCTTTTTCTTGTCCCTTGTGGTGCTTCAGGTCAAACACAAGGTAACTGCCACAAAGCAAGCAGTAAAGCAACACTTTCACTTGTCACTTCTTGCAGTCCTCTAATCCTACAATCCTCGATTAACCTTAATCAAAAAGCTTGATTTTGGTTGCTCCATCTTGAACGGATGCTCCGTGTCACCACCCTCTTTGTCTTTTCCCTCTGCATCGGTCACCAGTATTCCTCCTCCAGGATGAGCATCAGTGACCCTTACCTCTCCAGCTGCACTCCCCCCTTTAATCCTCCTGGCCAATAGTCGGACAGAAATGCAAGACTCACGGAGCGACTGAGTGTCTGTCTCCACGCCGCTCTACTCTGTTTTCTGTCTTTCTTGGGAATTTATGACACAAACCCATCCAGAGTCATGTAATCCCTCTAAGTCCATCTGTTACTGTAGTGCCCCCTCTCTTCCTGCATCTGTCCCTTTTTAGAGGTGGTTCCTTATCAACCTCCCAAAACCTTTACCACCAGTCTAAGCTCCTCACCACTTTGATTTTTACTAAGTATTCAATTATTACACATATAAGAGGGTGGATAAAACCGTGAACCAATTTATCCATATGGGCTTTTCCTTCTTTCCTTTAATCAGCACTAGCCATGTGCAAAGCCAAATCATGCGCCCACTACATTAAGTGTTTACTTTTTGGTTGCCAACTGTGATGCCTTAAAAAGAGTAGAAAGAGATTAATATAGTCATAATAATTTATTTACAATATATATGTACAGAAAAACAGAAAGACAACAAATGTCAATAAAGCAAGACATTGTGTACATGTTTGGAGGATGTATTTAGGAAAATGGGTGGTCCAAAATGGAGTCGAAGAAAGCAGTTTAACCCCAAGCTTGAGATTTACAGTAATGTAGAACCAGCTTGCCATCACTGCCAAACGACTGAAAAGAGACAAAGAGAGAGAAAGACAGAGAGACAGAACAAGACATGAAGTTAAATGTTTAAAAAATAGTAAGAATGACAACTTTATTTGATGCTGACCTGCCAAGCAGGGAGAGCGGTGGGATGATCAAATGTTCACTGTGAATTCTGGACTTTGAGGTCTTCGCTGTTACTTATCAAGACATTAATCAGTGGTCAAGGACTTTTTGCATTTGTAACAACAAGAGTTCACTCTTATTGCCCCCTCTGCTGGGCAAAGCTCCACATGGTCCTTAATGGTCTAGGACCCTAAGGATCGCCAATTAGGCTACTATTCTATTATTTTATTAAAGCCTAAGAGATCCTGAGACTTGGTTTAAGATTGTGTGTAAGGTCCAGTTACTAGCTTTCTCTGAGCTTACTAATGGTATTTATCAGTGAATGGTACATTTATCTGTTTGTTGATGATGGGGTTGACAGCTCAGGAAGTGGACTTTGGAGGTGAGATTATGTTGTTACACATACTGTCCCAAAGGTCAAATAATGAACTTTCATGCAAAGAAGAAAAAATGTGACAAGTGTTTATCTGCTGTTTGTTTCTTTTTGAAATCACAATTGCAGAATTTTGTTTTATCTTCTTTAGGTTAAGGGAAATGAGCTCTAAGTACACAACACCCTTTAGTCACAGGGCATTAAAACAGGTGTTTATGTACTCACATCAAATAGGATTCCTACGTCTTGATCCGGCGAGGGAGCAAAAGACTGGTTAACATAAATGAACTGGAAAAAAACAAAAAATAGATGCAGTTATTAGTAAAGAATTTAAAGATCTAAAGCATGTTTTCTAAGTGTCTAAGACATGATTTTGGGGAAAGAACAAGTCTGTGTACAAACTTCTCCTTACCAGTTGTTCATTGGCCTCAAGCTTGAGGAAGCGAGAGATGAACTGAGACAGGGACTGTACCGTCCTCCCCCTGTCCACTGCCCACTTCTTTGTTTTCATTATAGGAGTGTCTCCTACAGCCTTCAGCAACACGTCTACTATAAAAATGGAGAAAATAGAAAGTGAAACTGCTGCTGCTGCTGCCATCCAGGCTGTGCCAGGCAAATCTAAACATGAAACTGTTTGGGGGAATTTCTGGAGAAATGTGGAATCCACTGACGCATATATGCGTAACCACAGTGGAACAACTAAATCTATGATGATGTGCTCTGAATTACCTCACTGTTGAATTATGCTATTGAAATAAACTTGCCCTGCGTTAAATTAGAGAGAATACTGCAGACTTGCATGCCTGTATGAGAGGCTTTTGCACATTTATTGTTATAGCCTACAATTCTTTTTGTGCAAATGTTCTTTCCCTTTAATCACTTCTGATCATTTTAATTTCCTGATTGATTTCTGTATTGATTCATTCTTATTGTGTGTGATCTTTTATATATCTGTGGGACATCTGACCGCAGTCAGTCAATGTGCAGGCGTCTTTTATTTACTGTAATTTTATTACTTTTGTTTTAAATAGTAATACCTATGAATATTAATAGATCAGAAATTTAGCCAGACAACTCTATAAAGATTATGCAATATCATGTTGACCCTGATTTGATGGTTTAATCTTAGGGTTGTTATTAACACGCAAAACTGTCACTAGCATCTATCAATTTAAAAGTCGACAATATATTTTACTGAAATAACTCACCTTTAATCTGAATCACACATAGTTAATGAAAATGTAAAAAGGTCGAGTATTTCTTTCAATTCCTGAACAAAAGTATTTTTAAAAAACCCCAAAACGTGAAACAAGATATTTAACTTAATAAACTGCTAACGTTAACTGGGCAGACAGTTTGAAGCTAACCGGAGCTTGTTAGCTAAGCCTTAATAAATCTCTGTAGGAGATGCAAAGTTGCTATTAACATGAATGTAACATATATTTGATAAATTATAGGAATGACCATCCTCTCTGAAAAATATGTAACGTTATCCTATATGAGCAAAAAGATGATACATTGCCATAAACATTAGCATTAGCTTTAGCCATGTCCCAAAGCGGCAGTGAAAAGCTAAATGTTTATTGGCTAAACGGAATAAAAAACAGCATTCCTATTGGCTAAAATATCTGTCAATTGTCTAATACGTCATGCACCCGGAAATTATTCCTATACACTAGCAAGACTCCTCGTAAACAGATGGCTATTATTCGCTAAATGAGCAGAATTTTCGATATATTACGTGTTCTTACTTTTCTTTTTCTCTTCGTTAGTCGCCGAGTCGTCTGACTGTGGCTGTGACTCCTCTTTTTGCGTTTCTGTTGGGGACTCTGCATTGTCAGACATCTTCCCAGCTTTGGGTTAGTTAGAGTTTCCAAACATTGGAGGTAAACACCGACTGCTATTGGCTGAAAGAAACGCCAATCTCTAAAAAACGTAATTCTATTGGTCAAAACTTCCGGAAAGCGCTGTTCATCATAGAAAGACTGCAGAACTTGTCTGTCTCTAGTGTCTCCTAAACTGCACGCAAGGTTAGTTTTGACTTTGATTATAAATGTTAATATCGTAGTTGTTACATGCCGAATGCATGTTGGGTGTCTGTTTGGTTGTGATATGCCTTTTGTCCATTATTCAACACTTGTATACCCACTTGTGAGTAAAGTTGGTACATTTCTGTTGGTTTCCAGTTAAACAGGAGGCGTCACATGGGAAGTGGCAAACTGTCAGGAATTTAATCCGACAGTTTAACTTTCCTGTTAAACCTGTCACCCCCTTCAGGCAACACCAGTAAGTTAGCTTGGTCCTAGCTTTCTTATCTTTAAGTTCGCTCAAATGTCGCTTAAATCAATCTGTCTCATCGCTATCAAAACAGGCAACACCATGGAGGAAATAGTGTTGTATCTTTCAAGGAAATTAACCTAGTTAGTAACTGATGCTTTTTTGCATCAGTTAATGGAGACCCCAATAAATCAAATCAAATCAAACCTCTGTCCTCCTTAACTGGACACAACTCGCACCCGTTTTCCACTAAGCATTATTGTTCAAAGCTTCTGTTATATTTAAGTCTATTTTAATGTTCAGTAGCCTCTGTACTTTAACTGTAACTGTACCTTGCATCTCTCTGATGATCTCTCTGATGATTGTGAACACAATTTGTTGTTTTCTGTGACCTTGCAGTGGCAGGTATCGGTAGGCTCTCCACCAAAGATGCAGTGCTTTTCTTGTGTGACATGCAGGAGAAGTTCAGACCCAACATCTTCCAATTCACAAACATTGTCAGCAATGCAGCCAGATTGCTCGAGGTTGGAAATACTCACCATCACGTAGCTATCTCAGTCATACAAGTTTATCAGCCTTGGGAAAAAAATGTTTTATTTACTCCTCCTTCTCACAGGCCAGTCGTGTTCTGGGCATCCCCTCCGTTTTGACAGAGCAGTACCCTAAAGGCTTGGGTCCCACAGTACCCGAGCTGGGAGCAGCAGATTTGACAGCTCATGCTAAAACTTCATTTACCATGATGATAGAGGAGGTGGAGAAGGAGCTGCAGGCCCTGGGGAACCCCAAACAGGCTATTCTGTGTGGAATAGAAGCACACGCCTGTATTGCAGTAAGACCACACAATTGTTTGGCTTTTTAAATAACCTTCTCAGCATCAAAGAAGACAACATAAAGATAACTGTAAGCTCCTTGCTCAAACTTTATTTGAAATGGATTAAAAGTGTAGTTAAGTGTTATATTTAATATTCTTATCATTAGTTATTGCAGTTACAGATGGCCAGAAAATTGAGTGTAAGGGTGGTGATGCTGTGAAAAATTATTATTAAGTTATTATGCTATTATTAGTTAATGTAATTATTTGTGCCACAGGGCTTCTACAGTTTCCATTAATGATGATCTCTGTTTTTTGTCTTTTCCACAGTGCACAGCATATGACCTTCTTGAAAGGGGAATGGAGGTTCATATTGTGGCGGATGCAGTCTCATCTAGAAGGTATGTGTATTCAATGTTTTTTCTGCTATATAGCATTGTTATCACCTGCATTAAATATACATTTTTCCATTGTGTGTGTGTCTGGAAGCTCTCATATTTATGTTACTACTTTTGTGTCTACCTCCACAGCCAGACAGACCGTTTGTTTGCTCTGTCCCGACTGAAGCAGAGCGGAGCGTACCTCACCACCACAGAGGCTGTTATGCTGCAGCTGGTTCAAGGCGCTAAACACCCCAACTTCAAGGAGGTGCTTACTACAGCTGCTCTCTGTTGCACTCATGAATTACTTTTGTTTGTTTAGATGTGTCATAAATATAAGCCTGGCAGTATATTTTAGAGGAGAAGCAATTTTGGCATGTCCTCAGACTGCTATCAAAAACTGTGCTGCAAATAATCTGCCAGCAGACTGCAGCTACTGAGCTGCCAAAAAAATACACTGCCTACAATCTTTATCACAGACACTGCTGGCAAGTTACAGATGACCTTATTCTAATCAAGTCATGTCAATTTGTCAAGGACTTCACCTTATACTAGGGTACAGTGAGATTTCATACTTCCGTGATCAAACTGAACTGTTTTTTAGGAATAAAGCTGCCATCTTGCTCTTGCAAATGTGCCAAAAATGATTTCAAAACCAGAATCGGGTTTATTGCCAGGTGCATTTACACACGAGAAATTTGCCTAGGTATATATTGGAGCTTAACAGGACACAGAAAGATAAATTTAGAAAAATATATATAGAAAAAGTAAAGAAATGTAAAAATATACAAAATAATACTATAATATTAATACTAAAATTGCAAATGCAAATTCACTATATGAGCAATAAAGAATTAGGGCAATGTACACTTTTCACAGTTCAAGTTGTATTTCATTCTGATTATGCTGCCAGCCTAAATAATGAAAGTGACCAGCATATATTCTTTTCAATTTTATTGTCAGATCCAGAAGCTTTTGGCCCAACCTTCCCCTGACACTGGCCTCCTCGCCTTCTTCAGCGCTCTGTAGGGAGACCATCAGGTGTCCCTCTGTTGCTTAGATACACTGTACAGAATTTCACCGCTTCCAACATACTGGGAAAGTGCTTCAATAAAGTGATAATTAAAATTTGTACTGCTTGTGCTTTTGTGTTGATGTTTGTGAAACGGTTTTAGGTGAAACTTGGTTGTTACTTTGCATAAGCTTCTATTTCAAGCTATGAGAAGCTGTGAAGAGGTGGGACCAGCGGGCAGAGGCGGGGTGCTGAGAGTGATGTCACAAAGAGGGAGGGGTGTGTGACGTAACTCTGGTATATCCAGAAAGGGAGGGGAAGGAGAGAGGGAGGGAGAGAGAGAAAAAGGAAGCTCTCCGATAAGTTTTTGTGTGTATTTGTCCAAAGTTACTTTCACAAAGCAAAGGAATGATTGGAGGCCTTGTAGGGATCAGCATGCCGAAGAGAGAGATCTGAAGGCAAGGACGGACTCCGGCTTGTCAGCAGTTGTGCACAGCTGATGACAACATCAGATATTAACACTTTCTAAGGCCTTGGGCCTCGAGTGGCTACAGAGAGGTAAGCAAGTCACTCTTCCTCCTCAGAAAATAGAACATGTAGGTTGAATGGACGCATATTTACTGTCACATTCATGCAATGTATTCCTGCTTGTGAATGGATGGTTTCCAGAGAAGCAGAAGTGTCTTGTGTCTGAATTTAGTGGTGTGTAACTTACGCTTGTTGGGAGTACAGGAACAGAACGGCTGGGAGTGTTATATTACAGCAGAGGGGGATCTACTATAACATTCACCAGCGTTTGTGTCAACAGTGTCCAAAATAAACCATAAAAGTAAAAGGACGTGTTGATTTAGTACTTCCTCTTCTGATCCCTCAGACCCTGGTCAGCGATAAAGAGAGACGATGTCCTCTGACTTGGACTCCAGTCTCACCAGTATTGACTGGCTACCTCAGCTGGGAATCAGCAGCCTGCGCTCCGGGAGAGAGAGAGGAGGAGGAGGAGGGGAGAGGGACAAGAAGAAAGACCAAGCGAGGGAGAGGGGAGACTTGCTACCCTCTGTGCCGGACCCCTCCCTTTCAAACTCCAAGGGGAAACCCCCTCACAGCTATGCCACTCTCATCGCCATGGCAATAGCAGCTGCACCTGAGAGGAAGTTGAGTTTGAATGACATCTACACCTGGATCAGTGACACTTTCCCCTACTACAGCCGAGCTGGTCGTGGATGGAAAGTAAGCTGCAATGTAGAACAACAACATATAATCAGTGTACTAGAATAGTAATAACATTGTTACTAAAGGGTTAAAGTAGTTGGTTTGTTGATTTGTAACCATTTTAATATTATTTGCATAATAAATTTCATTATGTCACTTTGTGTCCTCTACAGAACTCCATTCGGCATAATCTGTCCCTTAACAAATGCTTCAGGAAGGTTCCTCGGCCACAGAGCGACCCCGGCAAGGTGAGTTACTACTATGATGTAGATTTGTGCTTTTGCATTATGTGTGATGGAAAAATGTTTGCTTAAAAGAGCTAAAGATAGAAACGTGTACTGTATTTCAAGGGTTCCTATTGGACGATGGATGGACCCCCAGAGGTGAATCAAGTGAGGGCGCCTAAACGTCCCTATCCAGAGGAGCAAGAGGAGAGGCAGGATGTATGTTGTTTAAGTTCACTCACTCAGCCATCAAACCTATGTTGTCAAAATGTCAAACAACCAAAAGTGCAAGTACAAGTTTGTGATTCTGGCATTGAATCCCTATAATTTTTTACTGCACTACAGACAGCTGTGCTTACTCATTTCTTGGCAAATTAAGATTTTAAATGAAAAACACCTGATAAAGAATGAATTAAAACTCAATGTTCCAGTTCTCAGAGGCATTTTTGCCACATTTGATTCCTGGTAAAGATGCCAGATGTTTTAGTGCTATTTAGCCATGCATAGTCTGGTTTTGGTTTTATTTGGCCCTGGTTTTGGGTATATATGTGTCTAGGACTGGGCAATAAAACAATAATAATTATCACAATATAATTTTCCTCAATAAGAATATAATAAATGTTTGTCAATAACTATTTGGTTTAATTAATTTAAATCACAAACAAATTAGCACTTAATTTTTCTATTAAATTGGTCAAATTATGCTAATTTACAGGTTCATATTCTTATTTAGGGGTTGTACCAGAACAGGTTTACATGGTTTCATTTTCAAAAACCACCATATTTCTTGTCCTACTGCACATTGCTGCAGCTCCCCTTTTCACCCTGTGTGTTGAACGCTTCTTTTAACTATGGAGGGATGCATCTCACTTCTTCTATAAGATCTTTGTTGGGAGTTGCATATGCGCAGTATGTCGTTAAGGACTACTAGCCAATCAGAAGCAGAGTAGGGCGGGTCCTGAGAAGCCGTAAACACGGCTTCGGTTCAGCTGTATATGTTCACCTCACCAGGGGTGCATTTCCCAAAAGCATTGTTGCTAACTGTGGTAGCAACCTCCTTGGTTGGAACTATGCACTTGCGATGCAACTGTTTCCCAAAACCCTCGTTCGAACTATGGAGGTAACTAAGTTGGTAACTTACATGGTACGAACCATCCTTAAGCCGTGCAGGTGTCCCGTGTTCTCCGAAACCATACTTCCAACGTACGTTTGCACCAACTGTTAGTAAGTTGCATAGTTCAAACTACAGCTCCTGACCTGTGGTTAGATGCTCCTGACCTGTGGTTAGATGCTTAGTTCGTGACTTTCTGAAGCAGAAAAGGCAGTGTTAGGAGGCAGATGTAATGTGTTTTAAGCAGGGAACGTTAGATAATCCTGCTGTACAAACATATTTAAGGTGAAGATATTTTTAAATTAAGTTGTTAATGTACTTTTAAATGTATTTGTCAGATCATCAGAAGGGTTGCATTATTTCAGTACCGTACTTAGTAGCCCATCTGTAGACCATCTATGAAAAACAGGTGTTTTTCTCACAGATTACCCATCTGTTCACAATAACTTAATGTAATATTACTCACCCAGTATTAAGGTTAAAGGACAAAATGACAATGTAAAGACAAGGCTTTTAATATTACCTTCATTTATATTTCCAGGCCTCTGAGGAAGATGGGTGTTCTCTAGTCTTCATTACAAACATAAATGTAAAAAGAGAATTCATGAAAGTACTGTAATGAATAAATCCCTGAGAGCTTTCGTTGCAAGATAAATCGAGAGCTCACAGGAGTCGAACCCCTGTCTGTCTCAATAGACTACACTCCTGAGCTCAGCCACTTATCGCACTGAGCTATTGTCAAGACCTAGATCATTTGTGGCCAAGGGATTGATTACAGTGTTAAAGTGTTGACGCGAAGATACTTGCAGGTTAAACCTAGCCTATTGAAACTATTTGTCTTGTAATCATGTTTTTCTTCTAAGTTATAGCCTATAGTTAAGCTAAATAAAATGATTAGGTTAGGCTATATTATTTACTATATTGTTGATTTTCTTGTTATTGTCGGTATGCCTATAATATAAAAAGCTTAATAAGTTAGCATAATAATGTCACTTAATATCGGTGACAACTGACATATTTAGGCAGAATATGACGTTTTTGTGAGTTTCGTGCTGTGAAAGTCAGACGAACACACTTGGAAACATGTTAGTTTGAACTACATTGGTTCAAAAAAAATGTAGCCCCCTACCCTACACCGTCACCTACGGCGTAGCCTGACGTGCACCTCCTCAAAAATGTAACTACACATCGAGTCGACACGGACCGTAAGCTCTGTGATTGGTTGGCTTGGAAGCCTCGCAATGCCTCCGAGCCGACAGGAAGTGCCCATGCTTTGAAGTAACTTTTACTAGCGGCCAAAACGGCGGCTGTAACAGGTTGATCAATATATGTGACCATCACAACCCGAGCGAAATGACTCGTTTCATTATCAGAATGTGATCCATTCGGTTGATAACATTTGAAAAGGCTACACCAGCTGCACGTTTACAATTTTACCTCCATTCACACGGACACACATGTATAAATGCCTGGCTAGACCCTACGCAGGAGTATAAATCAAGCTTAAGCACGTGAGGAGAGAGAGAGAGAGCACAATGCTCACAGCTTCAGGGCTTGTCCGCAACTTCTGAATTGTCTCTAGCAAAATTGTAATCAATAGCCTACATTTAAATGTTGTCGGTCAATGTCTAGTCAATGTATTAACACAAACTGTTGACAGTCACCGCAAAGTAGTGAGACAATATCATGACACCTGACCGCGACACAGACACCTGACGCTCTGTGTGCTGCTGTCTCTGTCCCCCTCGCTGTGAGACACTACTGTTTCACTGTTTCCAGTATGCCTCATTCCCTCTGAAGCGGCTGTGAGCTGCACTTTAAAGGTGGACATTTGTGTGGAATCGTGGTGATATTTCTGTCTGATCATCAGTGTTTTCAGTGTCGGTTTTCTTTCTCTGGTGATGAACAGTGCTCTCGTCTCATCGAATAGGTTACAAGTGAAATTATTTTTTTTAATAAAAAAATGCACAACGATCGTCCCATAAAGCATAGGTCAATACTGACATTGGGCTGGCCCAATCACATCTCTAAGGGCCTGTGTCCACCAAAGCGTTTTCTGCCAGCTGAAAACGCCACCTGCTCTTCTGAAAACGCCTAGCTGGGAGCGCTAGAGTGCATTTTGGAGGCGCAGTGTTTTTTTTCGAGACGCTGTGGTTGCTATGATACATAATTTCCGTGGAGGTGATGTGCTGCAAGTAGGGTAGCCTACTTAATTTTAGTGAATGTAAAAATGTCACCACAAAGTACGTAGGCCAACTTGCTCTGGCCCTTGCTCTGCATGAAGAGAAGGCTGAAACATGAGAGCACAGTACGTGGGTTCATGAGGAAACACCTCGGCGAGTATGCACATCATTTCGTTCAAGATCGGATATGCTCGGTGTGGTGTTTGTACCGCCCCTCCTGCACTGTGATTGGACGGCTGGGTAGAAAGTGACAGTGACAAGCGCAGCGTTTTTTATTTATTATTATTGTTATATTCTGAATTATGACCTGCCACTTATATTTTGTCCTTCCCTTTATAAAACTAAAGACATTTCCACCATAAATTGGTGCAGAAAATTTTACTTAATTAAAATTAATTAAGCTAATTTTTCATTGAGGTGAAACAGTGCCATATGCACATTAAGAAAGACTTTAGGCTACTTCAGACATGCCTGCATGTATGTAGACTCAGCTGGGATTAAATTGTATGAGAAAGGTTGGTCTACAGGAGAAACATATCTGACAGCAATACAGAATGCCTGACAGCCTTAGTGCATTATATTACACTATATTTTTTTTATTTTAAATTGTCACCTCAGACATTTCCTCAATAAATTGGTGCAAAAAAATTCACCAGAATGCAGGAGTTTAGTGTTTAAAGTTTTTAAAGCCCAAATTTTTCCGGGGGAGGACCCCCAGACTCCCTTAATTAATATTATCAGTGTTAATTATTATCAGTAGAAATTATAAAAATCATAATAAATGTAGGCTATATATAATTTACTGTGGCTTTATAAAGTACTTTGGGTAGACAGCAATGGGGGGTGGGGGGTGAAAACATGAAAGATTTCTGGGATGGGCTAAGCCCCCAATGTTTCCAGAGCCTGGAAACACCCCTGCATCGTGCCAAGATAGTTCAATGCGACCTTCCATGGTTGTAGGGGAAACACACCCTAGTTTAGCAACATGGACTGGAGCAAGAGTTTCAGAGCAGTGAGCTGTTGTTGGGGGTTTTTTAACTCTGCATTACGGTAACAACTTTATGTCTGTTGACTGACTGGAAGTTAGCTAATGTTTGGAAGGGAGAGAAGAGGCAGCAGGCGGAGATCTTGGGCCTCATGTATAAACGCCGTGTAGGGGAGAGCAGGGTATGTTTTCACACTTTTCACACTGTCTAACATTTACTGAGCACCGTACACAATGGTACAAATGTCATACCAAATGAAAGAATGAAGTCTTGGGCAGAAGTTTTGTATTCATTATGTCTTCCTATCTTATCTCATTATGGATCTTTAGACTGTTAAATAGAGAGTGTGCACTTGTGACAATTTGCCCCATCGGCAGGTAAATTGTCATACTGCATTGGGTAGGTTGTCACACTGGATTATCAAACAGTTAGAACACTTAATTGTGAATATTGATTTCAATTTCAAATTGTAACCAGAATTAAAAAATTAAATCCATCAACACTCAAGCCTAGAGAATTTGGAAAATAAATAATTTAATTAAAAACAAAAATGTTGGCAGAGCACACTTTAACCTCTTTACTTTGAACTTTAAAATCAAACGTTCTCTGGAGTGCAAATAGATCTATGGTAATTGAATGTAATGCTGCAGAATGGGAACAGATGTGGTGTTAAACTTAAACCACGTCTTCTTTGGAATACTGTATGAAAATGGCTCCACATAGATGAGGCCAAAAGAGATGTCAGCGGCTTATGTCAAAATCCTTAGCTGTACTTCTGATTGATTTGTTCTTCAACTTCACCTGCCTGACTGCCTTTAACATGTAAGGTGGTGTACTGCCATTCTCTGTCTTCAGTTGATAATTTTCTTCCTTCCTTCAAAAACACATTCCTCCTTGCAATTACAAATTTATTACAAGCTTATTTGTCTACTACCCTTGTTGCCTAACTAAATTAATAACTAGATGTCTATGAAGATTCTCAGTCATCCAGGTCATAGTTATCCAACGAAGGTTAAAATCAAGGGCAACTGGACTTGGTTGAAGATACTGGAAGACGTTTCGTCCCTCATCCAAGTTGTCATCCAAGTAGCTGAGTTTCCCTGCCAGTCAGTCAGAACTGAAGAAGTCCTTTGGATGAGGGACGAAACGTCTTCCAGTATCTTCAACCAAGTCCAGTTGCCCTTGATTTTAACCTTCGTTGGAAAATTAATAACTAGTGTGTGTGTGTGTGTGTGTGTGTGTGTGTGTTTATATCTACTAACACACTACATGCCTACGGTATAAGACTACGGCTATGGCTGCTGCTGTAAACTACAGTGTATAATATTCTATTTACAGTATCATTCAATACTAGTGTCAGAGGTAATTATACAATTTCACATAGTTTTTTGTGCATGTTATATGTCGTTATTTGTACTGGCGGAACTAATCACATGTGAAGACTAGCCCCAAAGTCATTGAGACAACTTGCCCCAAACTGACATATGTGCTAATGTTGAAGTATCAAAAGACACATTATTCTCTACTTTGTGCAAAGTTATCATTTTGAACATTCACACCTAATAAGGTTGGAATACATAAAATGTAAAGTGCAAATGTTTTACTTTTGAAGCAAAAAATTATAAAATTGTGCTCACCTCAGATTAGAGTGACCTTGACCACATGTGAACAGGAAGTTGAACATAGAAAAAGAAGTCACACAAAATGGCTATTTGATTTTTGTCATAGAGCCTCTAGTGATGGAGTTATGAGCAGTGTGACAACTTACACATGAGACAAATCACCCTGCTCTCCCCTACGCACATTAGGTACGCTGGTTTTCACGCACACATGGGATGTATAAAAATGGAGGTGACATGAGAAAGTGCCGGCCCAGGCGCAAACTCTTGAGCTGCCGTGAGAATGTGCGGACCCTCCGCAAACTTTTGTCTGGCTCTGTCAGTGAACTCCAAACTGCCAAAACTCACAAAATGTTTCAAAATAAGTTTCCACTGCAGTTACTGTTCATATGTAATTTAAGTAGCCTAGTCAAGCAACAAAATAATTACGTTCGTTAATACACAATAAAAGTTTGATCATGTAGGCCTATGTAGTGTTTTAATAACAAAATAAAATTGAATATCGGAGGAATAGATAATGATGCTTCTCAAATTTAATTTCACTTCATATCACATTAGCCTATCACTTTATCATGTAAACATTCAAACCAGCAGTTTTATTTGTGCTCGTTCTTGTGAGCCATAACTATTCCTTACTGCACCTTAAAAGAAATAAAAAAAGCCAAGTGCCAACTCAGATTTTTAATCAATGTCCGCTAAATTTTTCAATGTGACTGAGTGTCAGTGTAGCCAGAACCTGCCAGCATAAAGCCAGGATAATGTCAGGTGGCAAGGTGCAGGCTGCCTTTCTCCGATGTTAGACGTTTATTAACTCGGCTAACTGATGGAATTATCATGGTCATAAAAATCCGAGATAACCTCAAATAACATTGAAGAGATCGTCGGTAGTTCATATCCTATGTGCAAATTTAGTTTTCAGTTTAGTTTTCGTGTGTAAAACTGCTGCAGTAATCAGACTGTCAACCGCACAGAGCGCACGGAGACGCGGCGGTGGCGCACAAACAGATCTGCCTTCTCACCTCGACTCACCCGGCACATCTTCACCACCTGCACATATGGACTGTGTAAATTAAAAATGTGTGGAAATAAAGCCAGGGACATCTCTCACACAATCGCCACTCTCCATCCTTATCATCAGTCCTTATCACGATGCAGGCCAAACATAAAACCGACATTAAAAATTTGTGTTCACCTGTCAAACCTCCATCATTTTGGCATGATTGCTGTAAACATACAAACACTGCTGCATGGCTGCGCTATGGCTCTGCAGAGGACAACGCGAGTGGAAGGATTACAGGAGTGTCCATTACAATTTCCTGGCCCATGATGATGACTGGCTAATACTTCGATTTAGATTCCCTGAAGTCGTGCTCTTGGATCTGTGTGCTGAACTGGGTCCAGCATTAAACAGACCACCACTCTGGTGGAACCGTGCCATCCCGGTACAAATATAGGCTATAACCACGGTTTCTGGTAGTCGGCTGGTGGCAGCGAGAGTGAGCCGACATGTGTGTCTGATGTGGTCAACAATATATAGTGTTTACCTTTCTAACTAAAGCCTTTGTTTAGAATAATATAACTCTCGGAAACTTCTTTTGTTTGTCAACAAGCTGCATCAAACAACATGTAGCCTACTTTCCTAACTTCCACCCCACAAGCACCTGGATTTCTGAATCAGAAAAAGTCTTTTCCTCTTTTTTGACCTTTCTTTATTTCAGCCAGTATCAGTAGGTCTGAGCCGGGTGTACTGACTGACTAACACGAACGCCACTCCTTCATTGCCTTAGTTGCTGATCAAAGAGTTCAAACCATCAAATGAAATATTTCTCCTCTCCTCCACTTCAGTGATCAGCACCTCGATCTCACACTCAGTGAAGTTTCTATTTTTCACTGTTTTGCAGCAGGTTCAGCCGTTGTTATTTGGACCTTAGGAGGTGACGCTGGCGTATTTATGGTCATTTGCATAGTAATTTATGGGAGGCTCAGTTTCATGTTGATTGGGATGTATAAAGGAAAGGTGCACACGACCTGGCGTACGCCTGTTTTTATGTGAATATTTCGGTGCGTACATACTTTTCAAATTCTGTGAGTAGCCATCTTTAAGTATGAGAGCTGCGCAGTCTTTTATACATGAGGCCCCTTGTCACTGTGTGCTGCAGCTCAGTGTATTTTTCCCTATGGTTTTTCCACATTTAAAAATCAACACGAACATGTCTATCCTGGACAAATATGTTGGTGATGAATTGTCCATTTTTGATAATCTGCAGACCTTGCTGTCAATCATTTGAATAGTGAATATTTTCTATGGAAGAAATTGTTGACATAATTTTCTATCTTTTTTTGTATTGGGGTGAAGGCAGAAACCAAATCCGGGCAAGGAAAAGCATGTCTATTTTTCATTTTGTGATTTGGGTGAACCGACACTTTAACTCGAGTAAACTTGAGTATTGCTACTTTCTGCTTCTTACAGGATTTAAAACCACCATTACAAATAGTAACACTGTGCTGTTACAGGTTCCTGAAGTACCGGGGACACAAGCAGAGAGAGGACCCTCTCCTCATCAACCACAGCCAACCTCCCACACGGACCACCAGCACCTTGACACGGAGCCACTGGGAGCCGTCCAGCAACAGTCAGCCCAGGCTGCCTCCCTCTCTCCTCCCCCATGCAAGGTAGAGACACTTTCTCCCCTCTTTCTCAAAGCTAGGTTTATTCTTGTTTAAACAGCACCTACTCAAATGTCTTGTCTTTTATCTTCACAGCAACCCTCACCTTACATGCCAGACCCCGTGTCCAGCTTCTCTACCCCTCACCCATCTCTCTCTCCTTCAGCTGAGCTCCCACCTGCCGCCCCCATGTCCTCCATCAATTCTTTCCCACTTCCCCATCCACCCGGCCCCACTTTTCCCATCCCCACCCCCTCTGCTACACATCTATCTGCACCTTCTACAGCTGCTCCCTCTTTCTCTAATGCCACTCTGTCCTTTCCTGCCATCTCAGGGCCCGTACCTGTTTCCACTTTCTCCTGCACCCCTAACTCGGTGCCTGTGTCTGTTTGCACTGTGTCAGGAGCCACTCACTCTTCTGTATCGGTTGTCCCTCCTGTTGTCTCATTAACCTCCTCCACTGATCCTCCGCTCCGTTTCACCTTTGATGAGATGAATTTACCAGACTTGTACGCATCTTTCAAGTCTCTCTTCAAGACCATGCGAGAGAGGGGAGGTTCACAGTGTAAGTACGATGTGTGCTTGGGCGTGTTTTGTGTCCAATAACTCAATAAAGTGTACATTATACACGTAAACAGCTTGATGAATGACTTCCTTGTTGTTCTTTCCAGCGGATGTTGCTCCCCTGGCTGGCCTGAGCAATGACACTACCCCACTGCACACTCCAACTCTGCTACCAATGTCTCCTCACCCTGCACCTGCACCACCTCCACCAGCTGCACACCCTCATGAGACAGAGCGCGTTTCGCAATGCAGTGAGTGTCACCTTACCCCATCTGCCCCAGAAAGGCTTGAATTGTATTAAACTCAGCAACATAACAAGGAAGATCAGTACTTTCATAAGTGACCTTCCTCCCTTCCACTTTAGCTGTGCCGCCTGACTGGTTCAGTAACCCAGATTCTCTGAAGGAGAGCTTCCGCATCGCCAGCCATCTAGACTGGGCAAACATAGACCTCTCTGGGCACCCAGGTCTGTGCTATTTACCAGGTTCATGTTTAAAAGGTCGCTTCACTCCAATGACAAAATAACTTAAGCTTACCTCTGAGGGTAGTTTGGGTTTTATCTGCTGAGGTTTTGAGATGTCCCTCTCTGAGCGTTAACTCTGCTTAATCTACAGAAACAGTCTTCATAGGACAGAAAATTAATTGGTACTTATTTTGATTATTGATTAGTCATTTTCCCCAGAAAAAACACCAAAGATTTTGTGGTTCCACTTTCTGAAAGGTGAGAAATCATGTAGAGCATTTTGTTTTTGCCAAAACAATCAGCATATTATTTGATAATGAAAACAATCCTTAGTTGTCGCCTGAAATCACTCAGTGGTGTCAAAATGTTACCTTAAATGTTATTTTCAATGCTGTGAGCACCACCAATGAAATGTCAGTCGCCTGTATTTGGAGAAATCTCAGACACAGATAGATTTCAAACCAGATAAAAACCAAGACTATCTCCATCACTAGATACTACTAGAAGAATTTTTTTGCCAGTTGAGTGAGCTGATCCTTAAAGATATTTGTCTTTTAAAGCTAGGATGATGTAATTTACTAGTCAGAATACATAATTAGTGGAAGATAACATGGTATGAAGACTGCAAAAAGACTTTACTTTGCCCGCCTTGAAAACTTTTTTGTTCTAAAAGGCGCTCACTTTCTGTCATCAGATCTGCTGGAGAGCATGCGCCAGGCGGAGCTCTGCGACTGGGCCCTGGACCCGGCGCTCTTCACTTCTCTGTGTGACTCTCTGAACCGCTTCTTCACTCAGAAAGGCATGATCACCCCTGGGAATAGCTCCCCACTCGCCCTCGGTGCACCTCACTCCTTACATGTCCCACCATTCACCACCAATCCACCTCCTACCCTTTCCAGCCTCATTCACCCCTCCCCCCTCCCCTACTCTCCCATAGTTCATCCCGCCAGTGGAGCTCAGCCGCCACGGAGGGCTCTGCACATGCAGGGACAGGGACTTCAAAGACCACAGCTAACGCAACCTACAAACTCAGCCGGTAAGACCTGGACATCATGTTCAAAAAATGGCTTTCTTTTGAATAGTCCTTTTTTGGTGTAAAACATTTTGCTGAAGCTAACGTGAGTCTTAAGTAGTTTGAATTAGAGAAATCAGGTGGTTATCTATCAATGTTAAAGTTTTTTAGCTTTTAACTCTTTTTCCTGCTATCCCTCCACCGCAGTGGTATACTAACTTAGTCCGTTTCTCTTTCTGTCTCAGCTGGGCTGCAGCCTCAGTCTATGACACCACGACAGCGTCCTCCATTAAAGAATCTGCACAGCAACAGTGAGGAGTTCCAGGACGACTTTGACTGGGATTCTCTGCTCGTTTGACCCTCAGTGTCTGTGTGGCGAAACAACCAAGACTGAACTTTTCAGAGAAATTTGACTGCGCTAAACTCTGTGAAGACGCTGGGTCGCCGTTACGCATCTTGAAGCTTCTCTGAGAGCAAGTTTGGGATCAAGTGTGTCACATGACTGAACGCTGTATTTCAAGGTTGAAAGAGTTGTAGATGTTTTTTCACCTTTATTCAAATTCATGTGCTGTAATAACTTTTGTTTAGCTTTTCTTCTCCAGTTAATTGGCAGGGTGTTTTTTTCCTGTTGGATTGTAGATTTATAAACGTGTTCACCATAGAAAATAAAGTGTAAATTTATTTTTGTCACTATTGAAATCTGTAAAAAAAAAAAAAAAAAAAAAGCAAAAAAAAAAAAGCATATATGGCCTGTACAGACATAAGCATTAACTACAGAGCAAGCATGAAACAAGCCAAACACACATCCTGTGTTTTTGTTTTATTTCATAAATTCCTTTTGATTCTTTTTTCCATTTTACTTTTCAAATGTGAATGTTCACAGTCATCACCACACGAATTCAACCTTACCCGATAAAAGAGATATTTTCTTGTTGATATAAAATAACAATAAATTCATCAAACTAAATTAAAAGAACAGCATGAAGCATGTTGTCAAGTCCCTGGTTTTTTTTGTCTTCTTTCATTCACTGAAACAATTGTCTTTTATTTTTTAAGAAGCATCAGTATCTCTCCCTCCCCGAAGGACAAAGGGATGAAAGACAAGGACAGTGGTGCTGTGGGACACCTGTTCACCAGGGATCCCGTATGAAATGTGTGATTGGAGAAAAAAAACCTAATGCTTCTGATTAATAAAAAAAGTGTGAAATAAGATTGGCAGAGAAATGTGTGACCCTTGTAATACCTCATTTGAAATCCCAACATTAAATAGTATTAATACAAGTAACAATTTTTAAAAACAAAAATAATGAATGTCATTTGTTCCTTTCTGAGTCACTGAAATAAGATCAGCCACAAGAAAAATAGACAGAGATATTGACACATTTACACAGAAACAGGCATTTGCACTATTGCATACTTACACACACATAAATGAGCATTCATATTCTCATTCACACATTCAACAAACATCCCATAATTTCCACACCCCCCCCCCCCCCCCATTAGACAACAGGTGTCAAAGCTCTCGTTAGTTTTCTACAATAATAATAGGAAAAACAAAAAAGTATTTGATTTAATTGGCATCATCGTGTGATTTTCCTTGTTTATTTGTTCCCAAAACTTGGAAAAAAATAAATTACATTTAACATTAAATTAAAAGTGAAATATAGTTTAAACTATTTGACCACATTGTGCCTGAAATGGTACTGCAGGTTTTTCAGTCCGTATCTCAGTGTGGAGTTCATTAAAAATCATCCTTCATGCACTGGTTTCATTTCAGTGATTCAGTGTTCATTCTAGAGGGAGAAAAGAGTAAGAGGCAGGTACAACTGTTTCTCTGTTCAGTTTGTTAGTGGCTATGTCCCCTCTCCTTCCATCTCTCTCTCAGTGCAGAAGTAATAGAATAGAGTGACACTACTGAAAAGGTCTCCTGCTCTCACAGACTTACCTTCATCTCAAAGAAAGGACTGGGGGAAAAAAACAAAAAAACATGAAGAACGATACAGAACAGAATAAATAGATCTCTATTTCCCGCCCACAAACAACCCATAATGAAATGAAAGGAACTTAATATGGGAAATTATTTTGAAATGAAATAATGCTTTCAAACAGACTTTTTGATGTTTTGTTTTTTTCTTTAAATATAGAGATGTACACATTTTTCTTTTTGGACACAAATTGTGTTGAGGGGGATGAATGAAGGGGGCAGCAGGTATGACAGAGGAGGTTGAAACAGGTGAGCACAGTAGTGGTGACACTTCCTCAAAGAAGAAAAGGGTTGGTGCTCGCTCCTGTCGTTCCTCCGCCTCCTACTGATCCTCCTGCCCCCATCACTCCTCCTGTTCCAGTGGACCCACCCAAAATCAGCTGAGGAGGTACTGCACCTCCGGGACCCAACAGAGCAGAGCCCGGGGGACCCATAGGCGAGAGCCCGCTGTAGGGCATGCCCATGGGGCTGGCCTGCATCATGCCCAGGCCCATTCCTGGGGCCCCCATACCCACACTCATTGGCCCCATGCCCATTCCTGGTTGCACCATGCCCAGCAGGGGATTGGGAGGCACTGGACTGGAGCGGAGGCCGCTCAGGCCAAGTGATGAGGGCTGAGGTGAGATGGAGGACATGGGTGGAGCCACTCCAAAAGGGTTGGAGGAGGCAGGTGTTGGAGAAACCCCCCTACTGGAAATGGTACTGCCTGGCGTCACTGCCATGCCAGGAGCAGGAGATGAGCCTGGAGGTCAGAGGTGACAGTTAGACAATATTATGTGACATGAACACAACATTAGAGCTGCAACAATGAACTGGTTAATCCATTAGTCAATCAGAAACTATACTGATAGTCAAGTAGTTGTTTTGGTCATTTTTGTCTTGCAAAAATTCCAAACACACTGAATATGTTAATCAGACTAACTAAGTACTTGTGGTAGTGCCCCGAATTTCTTCTCCTTCATTAAAAATTGTCTAATATTAATAACTTTATTAAATTGCCTAAAATATTTTCAATGTTGCTAATAATCTAACCTGCTCCTACCAGATCATAAACAATAATGAAAATAATCATTAGTTGCAGCCCTATAACAAACTGTCATGGGGTACTCATGCATTCTCATTTCCAGCTATTATATACTTAGACAGTTAAGTCATTTAAAGGTTCCTTGTTTAGCCTCCTAAATGTTCCAGAGTATTTTATATTTGCATTTACATTGCCACAGAAAGGCTTTAGTTTAGTGCACCTCTAGAAAACAAGCATATAGTTTGCCTCTGGGTCACCACAGAGCCTCCAACATGGTTGTTGGGTGGTTAACTGTCTGCTTTTGATCTGGGGCGTTCAGAAAAACCTAGCCAGTTACAGCCAAACCGTCTCCATACTGGTGAGTTAATTAGTAGTACATTTTAGTTCAAGACATTAAACTTGATCTTTTGAGAATGTATTTTAATCAAAAGGTCTTTTTCTGCCAGATGCACTTTACTGTGAACAAGGCTAATTATGGCATCTTAAACTGTATACTTAGTGTGAATCTACACAGCTCTAACTACAAACACAAAATTCTTCCTGTGTGTCCACACAGTTAACATGATAGCTGTTACTAACCTGTGTTCTGGAGGAAGGGGTTGTGTGCTGAAGAGGAAGAGATAGAAGGAGGCGGCGGCTGTTTGGGTTTGGGTTTAGATGACAATAGAGAATCAAGATCCACCAGCGCTGCATTGGGGCCGAGGAAGGACTCAGGAGTCTTACGTACAGGAAGTGAAGAACCAAGAGATGACAGGTCAAAAGGCACCGGAGAGCCTGTACTGTCACAGCCTGTTGCTGGGGACCCTCGTCGCTCTGGGTCTCCTAAGGGGGAAATGAAGGAGGAATAGCAACAGTAAATTAGACACCAATTAAAACCTTTCTTTCATTATATATGAAAAACATACTTCACACATACTAGAGGAGGATGAAATGTAAGACAGGACAACTGTTGTGTGTGAACGCAACTGAAAATCTGTGTGTCATCTATGAAAATCTGTTTAAAAGGGTGTTGCCAGTACCTCAGTGTTTATGAGCCCATATAGCTTTAGGTGTGAATGTACCTGTGCCGTTAGTGTGTTTGGCGGTGCCACTCCAGATGTCGGAGGTGATAGGGTCAGAGGCAGGGACAGGTCCGTCCCTTGCCCAGGGGTCTACTGGCCCCCCCGAGGAGGAAGTGCTGGGTGGCACTGATGAGCCCCAGGGGTCGGCACTGGGGGGGGTCACAGCTACAGGGGAGGGGAGGAGATGCAGGGGAGGGGAGGGTTAACACAACACCTTACAGGTACAATACACAATAAGGAGGGATCAGGAAGCTGGGCTGGGTTCCAACACTTTCTCTCCTTGACCTCTGCAGTCCTACTAAGTTGATAGGTGAGAGCAGATTTCTCTTAGCCGTCCACCATGTTACTTTCACCTACTTAATATCTGATGCTCAGTGAAGGTAAAGGAGAGATAATAAGAAGCTACCTCACACATTTAAAAAGGCACAAAAGGGTAAGAGACGAGACAGCTCTGGTTGAGACACAGCCACAGTCAATCCTGAGTAGAAACAAGAGGATACAAATCCCTGGTTTAGACACAGAGGGAGAATGGATTTAACATGCTTGCTTCCTTCATTACATACTGAAAGCAGGTGAGTGGATGAGAAGATGTGACAGCATGAAGACATTGACAGAAAATGGAACAGGGCTTTTGTGAAGACAGGAAATGGAACAGTGGAGTGAAGAGGAGTAAAGGTCAAGAGGTCTCCACATCCTCTTTCATTCACAGAGCAGGATGCGGTTCTCCCTTTTGATACTCAGCAATGATTACATTGCTACCAACCTGACAGGCTACAGAGCTGCTACGTGACCAGTTTTGTAGCTGCTTACCCGAGCTTCCCCAGGGGTCGACGTTATTAACTCTGTTGGATGTCTCTCCCCAGGGGTCTGGAGGAGGGGCTATAGTGGGTGGGGCCCCCCCACCCCAGGGGTCAGAGCTTGTAGGAGATGTGGGTGACGCCACTCCCCACGGGTCTGTGGAGGCTGTGCCCCACGGGCCGGAGGCAGCAGGGGCAGGGACTGTGGGTGGAGGTGAGGGGCCAGCAGAGCCGACAGTGGCAGCGGCAGCAGGGCCCCCCCAGGGGTCCACGGCACTCAACTCCATCAGAGCGGCCTGTACAATAGAATATACAACGGATTAATGTTCCTACAGCTGTTTTCAGGAAGAAAACTAAGGACACATTCATCTCATCAGTTGTGATAAGAGGAAACTCACAAAACTGAGAAGAAGGAAGAAGAATTTCAGACCAGGCAATTACATCAAACAGATGTTAAAAGAAATCAGAATTAACTTCTGACTTCTGTAAATTCTTAGTTCCCTGTCTGTGCAGTGTCAATGTAATTTGACAAAACTGACACAATATTTCTAGTCCAAGTAATATTTTTTTACTATTAATCCTCGATAATTAACTATTGTGATTTCGGGAAGCTGTGACATACTCTGCACTATGTACACAGCTGTTTACAGTCTCATTTTGTGATTTGAGGGCCATCATCACAGAGACAGATTGTTTCTGCAGATATTTCAGTCCCAAACTGTCAGTTGTAACTTGCTCTGCCCTGGAGTATTATCAGGATGGTAGTGCTAACACCTGACCTAGTGTTGGGTCGCCAGGTGAGTGCCCATTCTCTATCACCCTACCCGTTCTTTTCCCCTTTTTTTGTTTTTCTTGG